CGCACAGCTGTGGCGCATACGCGCCTTCCACTGGAGGATCCCTGGCATGCCGAGGGTTACGTCATGGTGTACGTGTCCCAACGAAAAGCTGCAGACCATTGAGATAGCACCCAGTTGAAGTTTGCTAGCCGATGTAGCCTTGCTAAGCATTTCATTAGGCCGCTTGTTAGCGAGCTTGAGTCTTAGGGACTGCGCCAGAGAGTGAACAGGCAGCTTGCGCTTTTGCGTCGTCTCTTCAGATAACAGATCCACTTTCTCTTGAGAAGAATATAAAGCCAGTAATTCTTGACCATTAGACCAAACTTGTATCAAAGCAGGTTTGTGCGGTAGTGGATCCTTAAGTGTGACTATCCTCTACAGCCCCCTTCACTGCATTCCAGCCATGATCATGGAATCGCTGTGCAGCCTGCGACCGCCTGACGTGACAGTTCTGGTAGCCCTGAGATATACCACTGAAAAAGCAGCTGTTTGGCTAGGTAGAGGCTTTTTTTAAAGCTAGAATTTCGTGTTTTTCAGTATTCCAGCCTAATAATTGATTCCGTTGCTAACCTTTATCTATTATCGCAAAGCATGTTGCTAAAGCGATTTCGGCATACTGCGATGAATGAAGGCATGTATGAAAGCCTAAAGTGTAGCAATCCTTGGAGGCAGATGGCATCCTTAGTATGAATCTAGACCTCCTTGAAGCTGCAAGGAGCATTCGTTTTTCTTCATTTCCAGCGCACACAGCGAGGTACAATCACACTTCACTGGTGATATCTTGAAGTACTCGATCATCCAGACGGTCGCCATTATTGGTCGTCATAGCCTCATTCTGGCACTCATTGAGTTAATGTTGGCTCAGGAGCCAAGCCTGCCCACAGGTTGTAGAGCGACTGCGTTGACGCTGGCTTGGAGGTTGGCCTCTGCTTCCCCAAAAGGCACTGCGCTATTGTCGAAATCCAGCGCAACAGGGTGCATTTCCCCTTGATTACTGCGGACCAAAATCATATTATTAAATAATTAGACAGCTTCACTAAGATGCGGCAACTGTTATAAGGAAATGTAACGTTTCGTTGTATGCACAATGAGCGAGTCTGCCCCATGTGGTGCTCCCAATTGAAGAGCTCCGGCTAATATCTCCGTATGGAGACACTTGACTCCAGACAAATACCAAGGTGATAAGTGTGTTCCAAAGGAACTTCTACCTGCTCTGGCTCGCACTCCTCAGAGTTCTCGAGATAAGGATAGTGGGAGAGCATGGGCGCACGTTCCTCCACCTTCCCAGCAGGAGGAATATTCACGCACAGATAGACAGAGCATCTAGCGCATGAGCACGTACCTTTACGTCCTGTTGTGCCGAGCTTGCAGTTCTTGGCAACAAATAAGTTAAACGAATGAGCAAACCAAGTTGGCCATCCTTTACTTATCCCTACGTAACTATAACTTGTGTTCGAGTGTGCTAACCTTGTGCACCTGGGCGGTGACCCCGTTCGCTTACCCTATATCGTCTCAACCGTACATCCTATGCACATAACACCACTGTAACCTCCGGAGAACAAATATGTGAGTCCTGTCAGGTACCAACAGTACATACCATAAGACGGCGTGATACATCCAGCTTTTAAAGCCTTCATCGCTGGCCTAAAACAGTGACTAGTCCTTTCTGTATTCTTCGCAGTATTACACATTGGGCCGTGGTATCCGATAGCCAGGGAAGCCTCTAAGATATGGCTGCAGAGATACTTACCAGGCTGGACTGCATTTCCGTACACTTCCTGATACAATCAGCTTTATGACAGGCTACCCCACTACACGTATTTCTTCTTGAACCAGTCTAAGAAATATTCTAATAACAGACCTTACAACCTTTGCTTGTGCCTCCTTTGCTTAGGATGCTGGGAGATTTAATTCAGTCATGTAGCATAACAGTTCAGCACTGGTAGCTCCCCATCCTCAGGTAATGCATACCCCAGAATATAGTACTGATCGTCAACTAGTAGTCCACAGACGGGATTCTGGCCTAATGCCCGCATGTAGATAGTGCCGTAGAAGTATATGTTTTCGAGCATACATCCAGTTTAATGCACATCCGTCTTCAATGCTTCACCATATATAGCTCGTTGATGCCCTTCTGTTCCGGCATGGCAAGACAACACCGGAGCTTATGAGCAGTCGTGAGCCGCTGGGGATAGCGATTGTCTTCAATGAAAATGGAAGACATAAGTTCCAATCGCCGTGTAGGAACAAACTCCAATATGTCATTCCAAGCCCCTTTTGAAGGACGAACTCAATCTCTCGAAGCTACTAACAAGGTGTTAAAAGCTGAATGAAATTCGTTTTAGAAATCTGCGTAGGCAGTGCTTTCAGATCGCTTCTCTGTTTTGCTGAGCCGTGCGCGTCTTCCTCCCCTCTTGCATTGCTACTCTTCACATGAATGCATCGCTCATTCAGCTCTCAGGAACCGTCATGAAATCATGCAAGTGCTGATGCTGATTTTGGATAAATTTCTGTTTCGTAGAACCTCAAATAACTGCATCAACCTTGGTCTGCTGCACAGGCCCCCGGCGCCGAATGTTTTCATTTCATTGCATACATCTTCCCAAACCTCAAAGGATGTAAGTCGGAACATCTATTGAGTTTGAGATACGGTATCTCAAAGAGTCGCTGCCGCATAATAAATGTTCATGGCATCTTGATGTGCAAGTTTACTCCCTCGCGCCTGCGTACGTGACGTTGCACTCATGATGTAGTCGTCCAACAAAAGTTCGACTCCCAAAAGCCCCCTAGGAGTAAATCTCACAGGCACTGGTCGCGTTCAAGCACCACACCAAAGCTCTCAACAGGGTAATGCAACAACGTAAGAAGGGTAACTAAGTGAAAGGACCATATACGCCACGAAGCAAGCCATATTTATTCAATTTGGTTCACAGCATTCTCTACTGTAGGCGATTGAGTGTAATATGTCACTACAACTCCTGCCAAGCACTGCAGCGCACAGTCAGAACACACAGTACCTCATAATGGGTAGTTTTCCCTCAAAGCAACTGTTCGAAAAGGGCAGGGGTTAAGAACTCCGTTCCCGAATCAAGGAACGAACATAAACGGAAGGTACCCCGAGCAGTTATGTTGAGGGGGCGCGTGAATGTGAGGACATATCGACCTCCCGCCTGCTATATTGTGCCAAAGGACCTCCCTGTCGACTATAGCAGATGGCGTGTAGATCTGCACGCATTATTCCAGCCAGCCAAGTAACTTTGCATAAGGCTCCTTAAAAGTTTTCTTTATCCGGAAAGCAAAGCCTCTTCAAACTGGCAGCTATAGAAACAGTAAGGGAACTTAGCCTGCATGCGGAACCCACGAGGGCCGTAGCTGCTCGTGTTCAGCCGGAGCCAAGGTGTTCAGCCTTGTTCTGCATTAGACGAATGTTGTAGTATCGATCAAAAGAAAATAACACAATACAGAGCTTGACATGTCGAACACAAAACGACAAAAAGTCCAATTTGGCCTTACTATGCGTACTCCCTAATCCACTCAAAACTCGTACACTAGGTCCTAGGACAGACGCCTACAAGCTTCTATAATATAAACCGTCAAAACCATCGCGCCAAAGTGCAGGCCCGAAAATTGCGAGCAATTCACTTGGCAAATCTTCATCCGCAAAGCCTACATGCTTCAGCCCAGGCTTGAAGTCCCAACTGTAGATCAGAAAGTCCCAGCCCCTAATGGCAAAACCCTCGACCCTACCATCTAGACACTTCAAGTATTGGCGTTTCAAAGTAACGCCTGTCTGTACATTACAAAGGGTGCATAATGCATAGAAATATGCATTACGCGGTAAAGAGGCAGGAAATACCAACAAATCAATTAAAGCAGATGTTTGCTAACGTGTACGTAGGCATATATACGCGTACACAGCCATGTACATGAGCACATATATACACACAGATATATATATATATATATATATGCATAAGTACACAGCTGTATGTACATTAGCTGCTTTTATATATATATATATATATGTGTATAGCTTCCCTTCATTTGCACGTATTTGCATGCATGTATACACATGTGTATGTCAATACACACGCCTACACACACGTATATATATATGCGTGTATTTTTACCGAACATACACCGACACCATCAAATATGTATGGTAAACGGCAAACAGGTATTAGGTGTAAATACGATACAAATACACTGTTCTGTCACTCCGCACTGTATGTACATAAACACACAGGCCTTTTCTATTGCCCACACCATATAAAGGCCCATTGCTGCCGCCCAGCGAAATGCATGTGCACACTCAAATGTACATATATACATATGCATACATGTGAGTAAACGTACACGACTCGCATATGCACGTGTGCTTAAAAACCTGATTTTCTGGACACGCATGTATACATACACATATGCGTATATATTTATAGACCTACAGGTATGCACACAAGGATTTAACAGAAGCGATACATAAATTGCGAGCATGTAGGTATATATGCGCATACGTACAAATGCCTACAGGTTCAGGTGTGGTCGCACAGTGCCCCCCACAAGTCAAATTGTTTGCTCTCGCCCAAGTATTTCTCGTACCAATGGCCCTGTGCCTCTTCTCTCTATCTCGCTACGTCTTCCTCTGCGTTGTTCCTGCTCTCCCTGCCTAGTTTACCCTTTTAGTTTCCGATAAGAAAGAAGTGTACTGCCCAGTCTGTTAGATTTCCATGTTTTCAGAACTCCCTTACACCGCGCTCCCCTCTTCAGGATGTTCCAACATGAAAACAACGGCATTAAAGCACCGTATTCTGCTGCTGTCGCTTCTGCCACACCTGCATCAAGCCCGCTGCTTTTGTCCTGGCTCTGGTGTTGTGATGCTCCTGGTTCGTAAATTTGTGCACGGAATGTTACCCCGAGGAGAATGTTGACTGCAAAGAGGCCCTATGCATCTCAGGCACACAAAATGATATGTAGGTCTTCAATCCAAGGCACTTCTGGGGCTGTTGATGTAATGGTTGTTGTCATTCGGGTTGCTCCTCGTTTGGTGTTTGTGGCTTGTGTTCTTGCTGCTGCACTTGCCTCAAGTGTTGTGTTCGCTTCCTGAAGACTGTAACTGCCGCAACAGACGTATCGTGTACCGCGTCTGGCAGTCGCCCTTGCTTGGCTGATGAACTCCCATTTCCCTCCTCCACCGACACTCCCTCGCTTTCCTGGGGCTTGCCCTCCTGGGGCTCGCTCTCCTTGGAAGTCTCATTTGGGCAGTTGGTCCCTACAAATGCCTGCACTGAGATACGTCTATCCATTAAAACTATGTCGTCAGACGAAGAAATGGGAGGAGAAGAGGCCTCCTCTGGGGCATCTGTGTCTGCACTTGGGGCAGGCAATTCTGCCGCTTGGTCTGCTGCCCGCTCGCTTTCTGTTGCTTGTACAGGCGCTACTGTAACAGCAGCGCCAGATCCCTCTGCACGTCCAGATTCAGGTAGCGCCTCATCCATATACGTGTTAGGAACAAGACAAAAGGTAAGGGATATGGGAAGGAATGGACAAATCCCCATAGCAATACCGATACCAAGAGGGAGGTTGGTAAAATCGCAGCCTTCCACCTCAGCCGTCTGAAGCGTTCTGATGCCCAAAAGTGTGTAGCAAAGAAAGTTCCCACTGAGCTTCGCCATGGACTGACCAAAGTTCTGGAGCCCGGCGACCACCGCATACATTGTGCTCTCGATATTTTTTGGACAGAGGCGGGAGATAAGGACGCACCCTGGCATAAAAGCCCACATGGACGCCACTTCCTCTATGATAGATGCTGAGCAGAAGTACCATACATTGTCAGGAATCCCAATCTTCCTGTTCCACCGCATCACCATCGCTACGTCGAAGAGACAGGTAAGCTGCTGCAGGATCGATGTGACCAGAAAAGCCCTTCTAAAAGTCCACTTCGAAACATAGCGCTGAAAGAGGGCAACACCTATAAACGCAAACAGAGACTGTGCCAGAGCATTCCACGTCAGGAGGAATGTCCAGCTGAAGTGGGGTCCCCCAGGTACACAGTCGGGCCCGCCCCGTAACCAGTATGAAAACTGCGAGGCTATATTGGGCACTAACATTCTGCCCGCAAACATGTACAGCACGGGTTTTGCCAGATAAGGAGGCATCGTACATAAAACAGTGATTAAGATACAGATACACGAGCAAAAGCAATACACTATTCCTACAATGTGCCGCCTATCATTCATCAATCCAGCGACCATGGACCCACACGCACAAACCGTCAGGCACAGGGCACAAGCAAACAAACGGCTATGCTCGGAGAGTAGAAAGGCCTAAGCACACAGAAGCATACACACGCGGAAAAACAGACAGCCGCAATTAGAGGCATGAGCAAAAGGAGGAGGAAGCGGCGAGGCACGAACTGAGACGCTAAATATCATGAGTACTCTCTCAGTAGTTCAATCGGAAAGCCTCGACCCAGGCACAAATAGGCCTAGTGAGTACAAGGGGAGCGCACTCTATGATAGTCAAGCTATGAAACTATGCAATACCTTAAATCTCTCTCCCTTTGGTATATAGACCTCGCCCCCAAAACCTCCGTCTGCTTTCCAGCTCCGGAACGGCCACGGCCAAAGGAGAATAATAAGCTGTTGCGCACAGAGGGGGAGGAAAGGCGCCAGTACGATCTGAAAAGGGAGGTGGTCAACGACAGGCCCTACCCAGATGGCCTGCATAAACGTCCCCATTGAGCTGCATAGCCAAACAAAAGACGTTAGGGCAGCGCCCGTATAGGGCTTCTCTGCCATCCGTCTAGTGTATGTCCCTTCGCAGAGTAGATCGTTGAAGCTTGCCTGGACCATTATTAGAAAAAAGCCAGCCACCGCTACACCCATGGTGAGCCGCCCGGCACACGCCACAAGCAAGGTGGCGCCTATCACCCCGCAAATGGATGCCAGCAGCATAAAGGAACGCTTGTGGTAGCCCCCAAGGGCCCACAAATCAGACACGGAGCCACTGACGCCTTTGATACTCCAGGGAACCATAAAGAGAGCTGCTGCAACACTGTGTTGCTCTGCTGGTAGCTTAAGAACCTCCCTGAAAACAGGGGTTGAGGCGGCTATTGCCATATGGTAGGCTGCCCCCTTCAGAAAAAGATAATTCGACATCAGAAGCGTCATCAAGGAGATCCCGAATTCCCTTTTTAGACGGGAGAAATACCTGACAGGAGAACGGAACGGATGGCAGAGAAGGCGGCCGCAGCAACGCTGGAAAGGTCCCCGAGCAGCAGCGCTGCCACTGCCATTGCCTGAAGCCGAGGCCGGCAATGCCTTAGATGAGGTTCCATGAGCCACTGTAGGCAGCTCCGCTTCATGTCTGTAGATACAAAGACAGAACACATCACAAGGTTACTGAAATTTCGTTGAAAATCAAAACTAATAATGAGATATGCATGCTGCAAAGCCTGAAGACAGAAATAACGGTTCTTTGGAAGAAGGAGGCCATGATAACAAGTAATGATACACAACGATTGGCCATTGCTGTAGAGCCTGTTTATTGAGTATGCTTCAAACCTACCTGGGAGCTAGAGCGTCGAGCGCCGCTAACTCGAGAGCCGCATCAGACAAATCTGGTGCGGGTACTGAGGCTGCATTCATTATCTGAGCATCGAGGTTAATCCGCGCAGAAGAATCTTTCTTTCTCAGTGTCTTCTATTTTCATTTTCACTCGTAGGAGGAAAGGGCTGTCAATTCTGCACTGCGGTTGCAGCGGTGAGAGAGCTCAGATGAACAAGCAATGCTTCTTCTCATATCCACTATTATAAATTCGGAAAAGGACCTAGAATGCAGCAAAACATAAAAGCACCAGCATACAATGAGGGCGACACTCTCACTGGGCACGTAAGCTCATGTGGCACACAGCGGCGGCCGCGGCTTGGAAGGATGGCAGCGAATATCGGTTGCCTAGAAGCTGATCAAGAAGTAAAGGACGCAAAGAACGGCAAAAATCACAACAACATCTCAAAGCAGTGAGCCACTTCATGCTACAACGTTGGTTGGCCTGGCCCTGCAGAGTTAGCCACTTTCGAATCCCGGCGGAAAAGGGGGCCACACCATTTAAATGTTTCACCAGATGCAGTTAGCACCCCAAAACTCAATAAAATACTTGTATTCATTACTTTAATGTCGAAAAAGCCTTTTGCTCGGAATTCCAAGTGCTGGGGATCTCACTATCCGGCAACCGGCACGCGCTAGGGTACTGCGGGTCTTGATACCAAAATTTGTTTTGGACACCAAAAATTTTGAGTGTCTAAATTTAAAACTGTTGGTTCAAGGGGGAAAATTCCATAGACAAGGGGCTCAACGGCTAGCCAGCGAACCGGTGCTCTTGTCGGTAGTGCCGTAGTTGTTGACCTACATGGCGCGGCATCTAAAGGACTAGGCATTAGTCTTAAGATTGATTTTGAGTATTTTTGTGATGAAAACTTCAGAACCTTAGTATGATCATGTCCGAGGGAGGAAAATCTAGCGTACGATGCTGTAGAGAGCATGTTGGGGCATCCAGGGGGCCTGGAAGTGAACTTCTGGACATTTGCGTGGGCACACGCGCATACAGTATGCATCACTCAAAGCTGCACAACGGGAAGTACCTTTGCAAATTATAGTGGGGATTGAATGCCACAAATGAGCGCGCTTTTTAGTGAGGCCAAGCAATACACTGTGCAAGGAGGTCTATGGTTCTCCATGACGAGACATTCACCCCCACGACCGTAGGAAAGCTGCATAAGTTATTACGAGTCCATTCGAAGTAGGCTATTAGCGTCATCCGTACGTTCAAAACTTCCGGCCTGTGGGGTAGACTGCAGGCATGTTGAATACAGCGATATGGCGTGCGAAGCCACACTTGGAGCGAGATATGTTACCCTGAAAAAGTTTCCACCACAGTAGTTGTATTGAACGAACAATTAAAACACATATAAGACATGTTTTTGTCTGTTTACGTATCTGACTTGTTGCAGAGTTCTGTTCGCTCGACACAAAAAAATGCAATGTTTTCGTGCATGTCTTGTAAATGCTGTAGGTTGCTACGCTACACGGGAGCACTTTCTTCTACTGTAAAGTAATTGATCAGGCTGAAGCACTTGAATATATCAACAGGTGGCAATAGTGAAAGTATGATGCTTCGGCTTAGCAAAAGCTACATCACAGACGAACAGCTGGTTTCTCAGTGACTTCTGTGGACTACGAGAAGGCCCATGTTAGGTGGCCGTAGGATGGGCAGCGACTCAGCGAGTAGACGACCCACCTTAATTTCTTTCGCGAACTAAGGTCTGCATGAGGCTTCAAAGGCAAATGAGTGCAACTTCTGCGTCTTTGTCTGAGAAGAAAAACTAGGTCGGGAATGTGAACCTATGGATGCCAAGGCTGTGGCAGCCGGCTGTAGGCTGCACTCTGAAGCAACCGAGAAAGGAAAATCCAGAAGTTACCCGCGTTTCTAAGTAGCCCCAGATAGCCTTCCAAGAACGCATCTGCTTTTACTGTGTGCATAGGGACACATCGCACAAAACTGCAAGTGCGCCTGAAAAGTCAAAAAATTTAACATTGACTCTGAGGTCAGCGCAAGCAGGCTATTTGGAGAGCAATGCAGACGCCACAGGGAAACGGAAGGCGCCAACGCAATCTGTGGCGCAGAGAAGTGGGATACAGAGGATAGAGCCGCAACGAGGGGCTCACCAACGGGCAATTCTGCTTAGATTCAAGTTCGCATTAATCATCAGGAGTTACTAGACACACATGGCACTGAATGCAAGTAAATCTGTTGCCCGAGGCAAAGGGGCAGAAATGGAATTTGCCTGTTCACTCGTTAGTCCAACCCTTAGGAGTCAGGTTTGCTAACAAGCGGCCGAGCGCAAGGATTGGTAAGGCTACGTCACTTGAATGGCAGTCCACATCCCAACTATGTGCTACCACCATGGTTTGTGACTTTTAAATTGGACCGGTGCACAATGATGGAGTACTTGGTGCGCCATAAGGTCCCCATGGAATGCAAGCAACCGGCCACAACTGCGCGCCGTAAAGGTTAGTGTGCCTGGAAGCGCAGAGAGCAAACAACTCGTTTTTCAACAACACTTATTTCATTCATTGTGTGAGAGGCATACAGTCAGCAGCTGAGCGAGATGAGGCAGCGTTTCCATGCGGGCAGATTAAAGGCGCACTAGGAGAAGACACTTGTGGGCATGCTTTCCGTTTCAATGGCTCTGCAACCGGTTCTTCAACAGCAGATACAATTGAACTTCCAGCAGAGAAATAGCATGAAAGAATAAACAGTAGGGAGCTCGCTGATGTGCTAAATAATGACGAGCTGCCAGAAGGCTGTCCTCTGACTGGTCGTACAGAGCCCTGTTGAACTGATTGCCTGGTTTGCTCTGAGCCACTTTCCTCGTTTCGAAAGCTTTGGCAGCATGAACACGAGCTTGAATAGCAGGCGCAAATTTCGTTGAAATGGAAAAGTACGTCGAGGGATCACCACTATTAAGAACATTGTGTTGACGCAGTAAAACACAAGGGTGGGGAATGTGAATTAACCGCAAGACTCTTAGCAAGATCACTTTATGGCAGAAAGTTCCTGATGCCTCATAGTGGATAATTGCTTGATGTACTATACACAGCAAAAGTGTCTGTGGCAAATGAACTTATAGACGTCTTCTTACAAATCCCGATCACAGAGATTACCAACTTGAAATGGACTTTCACAACTACACTCGAATATCAAGCCCACCTGTATGACACTTGAATTCTTCACAAGCCCAGCTGAAACACAACAAGGAGCTCGCTTCAATTCTAAGAAGGCTTTTAAAGAGGGCTATCCGGCTTCAAACATGGACGACATCTCAGTAATCTACCAAAACATTTTAGCGCAACTACAACACCTACGGCGTGCACTTCAGCTGATGCGGGGCACGCAGTGGCGTGTGAAGGCAGGCAAGTGACGATATTTGCGCAAACGAATGTACATGGGAATTCTTGTGTCGGCTGCAGGAATGTTGTCATACTTGGTGAACTCGAAGCAATCAAGGCGTGTTACTTATCGTTACATACCAGCAAGGGAATAGCAAGGTCTACGAGGCTGCATGCCATAACCAAAGCTTTATTTATCGGTGTCATCGAATACTGATTCTTTGATTGACTCACTTTGGGTAATGTAGCCTATGACGTTGACAGACGGCAGATGCCGCGCCCAGGACATTTGTCTGCCGGCACGCAACTTCTTCAGAACATGCGCTGCCTTACTATGAGCGTCATTAGTTCTCATTAACCAGTCTGGCATAAAAAGGAGTATTCTTTTTTTTCCAGCAGGCTACGAGCTACCCATACACACATCCAACACGGTAAAAAAACTCAAGGCCGTGGAATGGGGTATATGTGATGCTAGGTCTATTTATATGGGCATCATCTTGATGTCCAGACCCATCATAGATTTTCCATGGGGCATCTGAAGACAGTCTAGAACTTTGATCATCCTAGACTTGTTTGCTGGCTTCAGTTTTTCTAGCGCACCTTTTGCATTAGATATATCAAGGGTGTCGTTGCAAGCGCACTCTCTCGACGTCTTACTGGTTCGCTATTTCGCATCGCAGCCGCTCGTGATACTGCGTGAGTCTTTTGCTTTCGGAACCATTCACTTGCTACTGCTGCCAGAATCCAAAACGAAAAAAGTACGAAGCAGTTCCACATCGAGAATGACTTGCTGTGGTTCAATAGAGGCGGGGATTCGTACCTTGAGATTCACCTGTGCACTGACGTTTTGGGGAGGTCAGATGATCTTGCTGTTCCATGCCTTGATGGGATACGCACCACAACGAAATAGGTTGCACGGCCTTTCTAGTGGCATGAGATGCGTTTCTCGGCAGGGGAGTATGCACTGTCATGCCTAGTTTGTTAGTTGCTCAGGCCGTGCACCCCTCCTCACCCCGGCCCTTTGCACCGCCGTCTGTATTCTAAAGGGCTTCCAACTGATCTAGGTATGGACTGTATTGCTGCAATGCCGGAGTCTAACCGTGAGGCTAGCGTTTGCGTCGTTGTAGACACTCTTAGCGAATATGCCTATTTCATCCCTTGTTACAGCTGTGTAGCCGGTCAAACAGTCGCAAAATTACTCCCAGGCTGCATGCCCTACTGCTTCTTCAGGCGCGCTGTTACTCATAGAGATCCGAAGCTTGTTAAGGATGTCAGGCCTGCCTTGGTGTCGCAGCTACACATTGACCACAATGTGCGTGTGGGACCATCCTGAGGAAGGTGCACAAACAGAGCAGCCTCGCACTCTTGTGCAGTATCTGCGACCTTATGTTAACACACCTAGTTGTCTGCCATTACTTCCCGCCCTGTACTAGATAATTTTACCATGCAGCAGTACCCTTCTCCACCTGCTGGTCGCCTGTACACCTCGTCCGCACCAAAGAGCCTCTCTTTAATCCAGGCGTGGACCTGGTCGTCTGGGGGCAGCAGCCACTCTTCGCAGCAGCGGGTTTACGAGCTGGTTGTTCAAGACGAATGTTTGTGCAAAGCTCAAGAAAAACAAGCATGGAATGACTCTAAGCGTCAGTTGGCTGTATAGTTCACGCCTGGGGAATCGGTTTGGTGGATCAGCAGCATACTTT